CGATCCAGGCCCAGGTGGACAAGCTGCAGGAAGCTCGCGAGAAGTTCAAGGCTCGAGCCGATACGCCCTCTATCCATCATCCCCTACCTCCTCCTTCTCATCCTCCGCCTGATCATCATCACCATCATCATCAACATCAGCATCAGCATCAGCATCATCATCATCAACATCATCATCATCATCATCATCAGCATCAGCATCAGCAGCATCATCATCATCATCAACATCACCAGCATCCTCATTACCTCCCTCTTCCTTCGTATCCTGCTATGTCTCCTCCCACCCCTCCGTTTCCTCATCCTCCTCTCCCTCTGCCTCGTCTCCTCCTCTGTGCCCTGCTCACTCCTCCTCCTCCTCCTCTCCCTCCTCCTCCTCTCCCGCCTCCTCCTCTCCCTCCTCCTCTCCACCCCCCTGCTTCTGCTCATCCTCCTTGCAAGCTGCCCCCCCCCCCCCCCGCCCACCGCAGCAGGCGGAGTACGACGCCTGGAAGAAGGCCAGCCTCGACGACATCAAGAGGATGTCGGGCAAGTGAGAGCAGGAGGCCTTTCGCGAGGCCTCGCTAACTAGAGGGTGGAGTGTGTAATATTTTTGTTCGGGAATCTTGAGCTAGTCTGAGATGTCACCCCTTCTCCTGAGGAGAGGCTGGGCGGCATCACAGATAAATGCAAGGTTCCCGACAGAAACAAATGGCGCCCAGGGCCGAAGGAACCAAGCTAGGGGACGATAGTGAGGAAGGGAGGAGGAGGAGGGAGAGGTGGAGGATGAGGAGGAGGAGGAGGATGAGGAGGAAGGGCGATGAGGAGGAGGGGGTGGAGCAGGAGGAGGAGGAGGAGGAGGAGGAGGAGGAGGATGGGTGACGAGGAGGAGGGGGGGGGGGGGATCAGGAGGAGGATGAGAAGGAGGAGGAGCAGGACGACTCCCTCGCACGTTAAATTTCATATGCCGCCGAGCGCTTCGGGGCGAACTATGCCACATTTTTATTTTGCATAGTGTCTGCGGCGCGGTGCATCCCACGGGCAAGAACCCAGTGAGAACTGAGCGGGGGGAGCACTGGGATTCGAAAACCAGATCCGAAGAGTAAGGGGTGTGAAACCTCCGTGACCATGCTCAGCACTTCCCCTCCGCTGCCCTCTCCCTTTCCTCGTCCCTGTTCACTCGTACCACATCCTGCTCCCTTCCCTCGGCCCCCCTCACCCGCTTCCTCGCTCTCCATCTCTCTCTCTCTCTCTCGCACTCCCACTCTCTCTCCTCCAGCCTCCATTCTGATCTGGAGTGAATGTGGTGGCCTGCTGCCATTTGTTTCAGCTGGTTAGTGCCTGTTCGGGCGGGCAATGCCGCTCCGCGGTGGCATCAAGCAGCAGTTGAGTGCATCTACACCGCCGCCGCCGCAGCTCCCAGAGGCGACGGGCCCCAACCCCCAATCCCGAGCCCCAGCCCGAGCCCCGACCCCCCACCCCTCAGCAACCCCCAGGGGGTGCAATAGATCGAGGCCCAACCCCCTTATACCTCGATTCCGTTGGCGATCACCCTTCATCCCCAGCAGGCCGCCGACTTCAAACGCGCTGGCGCCACCCAGTTCGACAGTTTCTTGAGGAGAAAATTCTTCAAGGGGAAGCTGCACGCTACGGATGTGGCAGAGGGGGCGCAGTCAGTGCACGTATCATGTCCGTCGGAGTGCCCTGAATTTGTGCAGCAGCTCGGGTCCTGCAACAAGACCTCCCGCAACCAGTACCGAAAGGTGATGCGCAGTTTTGACATGCATAGCGAACTACCCAATACATACGATGCTTATCTAACAGGGTGGGATAACAAAACTGGCTCGCAAACGAAAATATTGGTATCGTTCCTTCTGCCGACCGAGCTCCTCAACCACTATATCACAGAGGATAACATTAGTGACTGGCACAGCTTTTCTTCCGATCAGCGGTACCTCAAAGACACCTTGAGTTCCTGGGGTGATAGGGTCGGAATTCGGGCTCTCGATGAGCGTTTTCTGGCCCTCGGCGTGTGGGGCGACGCTGCGCCGTACGCCCATCGCGATACGATATATTTGATGTTGTGGAACGTGGTGAGCGGCTCCAAGCACAAGAGGTTCTGGTTTGCGTCGTTTCCTAAAAGGCTCCCCAGGGCAAAAACGCCAACACATAATGCGTGCCTGTGATGTTTCCTGGAATCGGCCTGATCTGATGGTTTATGGTTGTCCTCGATGGGGGTGCTTCCAGATCGCAACGAAATGTTAACTGTTTGGGTTGTTCGGGTGTCTGGAATGTTTCTGGAATTTGATGTGTTTTCTCGAATCTATCTGGAATTATTCTGGAATGATTGGGTGTTCTGGGAGTTGCAAGATTTCTGAAACGCTGCTGGCACCGGTTTGTGCCTGGAGTCGGGGCATGCTCCGAATGCGTTTTACGGGGCCGCGGAGCCCGGCTTTTTGGCAGCCCTCTCAGACAGACCTGCGCTTGCGGCTGCAGCGGCAAGCACACGTTTGAAGGCGTGTGGCATGTCATGAAGTGGTGCCTCGAGAGTTTCAAAGACGGTAAATACCCAGACAGGCGGCACGACGGCATCCCTTTTTCGTGCTCGCCCTTCGACAACGATCGGGACCGCGCTGGCATGGCAGGCAAGCCCATGCTTGCACGAGGGGCAGCCATTCAGATGAGGGGGGATTGGAGTTGGATGAAGCAAGCATTCGGGCTTACTGGATGGCGAGGGGAAGGGGGGCGAGGCGACTGCTGTTGGCTATGCTCGGCTAACAACACGACGCGTGATTTCCGCAGGGCTGATCTCGAGGCGCCGTGGAGACAGGAACGGCACTCCCACGAGGAATACTTGCGCCGTGCATCTGACGAGGGCCGCTTCGTCAGCTGCGTGTTCGAATGGCCTGGCTTTCAGTTGGAGTACGTGCACGTGGATCTCATGCACGCTGGGGACCTAGGATAGCTTCTTTGTTTTTTTCCTCTCTTGATCTGTCGGGGTGGGATCGTCGCCACGGCTGGACTCGCCGAGAAAAACAGTCGCGCCCTCAAACATTCTCCAGGCGTGGTTTTGTACTTGCTCGGTAACGTATGGTGGGAGTTCTGGAAGCACATGGGGGGCAATACGTCCACGGGGGAGGGCGGCCACAACAAGCAGGTGTCATCGAACATATTGTCGATGGTCCGCATCGCCGCCAAGACGTTGGGCATCGAGCCACCGCTAAACAATCTCACAGTGGGGATGATAAAGACTTCGGGCCAGCCCCCGAAGCTAAAGGTCAAAGCTGCGGAAGCCCGATACCTCTTGCAGTGCACTGAATTCATGGTTTTAAACTTCTTCCCCAACGGAACCTCACATGAGAGGTTGAGGTGTAGGTGCGTTTGCAAGCTAGCCGAAGCGTACAGGTGCATGGATGTTTGGGAGGACTCAGGCGCGTCTGCAGCTACTCTGCGCAGGCTCGGGACCCAACACATCATGTTGTATAGTGAACTGTCCAGGGAGGCCATAGAGGCCGACAGGGACACCACACTTTGGAGGATGTTCCCCAAACACCATTTGTTTTTACACGCTATCGAAGATAGTGTAGCTGTTTCTGGGTGTCCTAAGAGTAGTTGGTGCTACATGGACGAGAATGAAATCGGGGATGCAGCGTCTAGGGCGAAGTGTTGCCACTGCAAGACGATTCGCAGCCAGGTCATTCGGCAGTATCGGGCGTGCGATCTAGTCGACTTTCGCCCGAACTAGCTGCCCGTTCAGCCCGCAGTTTCAAGGGGTAACGGCGCTGCGGAGCTGCGCGGTGCGTTCCGCTCGGTTGACACATGATGAAGAAGAAAACGACGATGACGACGACGACGACGACGACGACGACCAGAAGAACATGCAAACAACAAACATGTGTCAACCGCTCGCTCTTCGTGAACTTGAGTAGCTAGAGGTGCATAGTAAAATGTTCTTCCGAATCATCTCCCTCTCCAGTACGCCTCCTGCCCTTCTCCTCTCTCCCTCCTCCTCCTCCTCTTCTCCTCTCCCTCTCCTCTCCCTCTCTGCTCTTCCTGCCGTTCCCCCAGTCCTCCTCCTTACTAGTCCCTTTATTTCCTTCCCCCTCTTCTTCGAGGAGGTGCCCGCAAAGCTTCACTGAAGCTTTTCGGCACGGGGGGGTCACTTGGACCCTCGCGAACTGCTCCGCGGGCAATGGTTTTTGCTTGGCCGAGGGGTCCAGGCAGAAGAGCTCTTCGAGACGTTCTGGGACGCTCGGCCTCCTCTCCGATCTCCCGCCCTCGAGTTTTGCAGAGGCGCCCAAATCAGGCGACGCGAATCGAAATTGCACTGTCATCCTTGACTAAATGTATAAACATAGGTCATATATATATATATATATATATATATATATAATTTTATCTACGCTTATATCATATAAACTGATATGATAAAATTTTAGTCGCCGATCTACTAAATAATTTCTCACATTTCTATAACGGAATCTGAATTTTATCCCTATTATATTTTTTTATTCGTCCAGCTGGATCTTCTAATTTTTTGTCTGATCTGAGCGTCTGGGGCCTCGCCAGCCCCTCCACCCCCTTTCCCTCCGGGCAAGTAGACTCGCCAGGGTCCGAAGGAACACGGTCTCATGAAAAACCGGCCCCGGGGAAAGGGTCGGGACTGCCAGGGACGCCGTGCTGAAATAACGGAAAACCCGGACGTCGCATGTTTGGGCCTGGCCCTCGGCCAGCACGGTGTATGCACCACCCGAGGTTCGGATGCACTCCTGGGAGGTCAAGTTCTGACCTTGCCCTGGTCCGAAATCCGGTTTAATCCCGCTGAATCCGGGTGAATCCCGCTTGATCCGGCTTAATCCCGCTTAATCCGAGGCCCCCTCCGGCGTAATAGCTCCCAAATGGGCTCAATCCTCCTCAATCTTTCCGACGGAGACCTCCCAGTAGTCGCCTCATGACCCAGGCCCCGGGATGGCCCTGGCCAGGCCCGGGCGGTGGGGTGCAGTTGTGTACCGGTGGCGCGGTGAGGACCGCGGCGTGCTCGCGATCGAGCTGGCGCGCACGGGGCTGCAGGCGCAGTTTGCCAGCGCCCCGGCGGAGCTGCGCGGGCCGGCGGCCGGGCCCGCGGCGCCCGCGGCGGGGCCCGCGCTCCTGGTGTACTACGGCCCCGCTCTGATTCAGACGGCGGAGCCGGAGCTCAGAGAAGTGACCCGTTTTGGGCGCCGCGTAATGGGGGGGTCATAACTGGGGGGGTGGCGAGCGTGGTCCGAAAAGGTACCCAAACGGTACCTAAACGAGCTCCCTGGGGCTCCGGAGGGGCCCAAAAGGGGCACGAAAGGGGACCTTGTCTGGCCCCCCCATTTATGACCCCCCCATGAAGCCACGCCCAACCGTTCGAGACATATCCCTACCCCTGTGTTGGGCATCTCCTCACCTCGATGCCGATCTTAAGGATTCCCTCAGTTTCTGCGAGCACATCTCAGGGGCTTTTTGCTCGCCCATCTGAGGGATAGGGGTAAGTTCGAAGTTAGCACCCTCGCCTCTTTTTCGCCATTTTGGGCCCCCGGGGAGGCCCTCGTCGCCACGGCTGGATTCGCCCCGAAGCTGTGGTCAGAACCCGCCCCAGGAGAGGTCCTGGGAGTAGCGTTATGGACGTTTTGGGAGCAAATCGTGGGAGCCTTGTATACCCTCATAGTTCCGGCTCTAGGGTGCCATCGCATCGCTCAGCGACGGTTCATCGATGAGATAGCGCCGATTCAGCGTCGATTGGCGTTGGTGTCGATTTAGCGTCGAGGCACGTCGATTTGCAAGAGCGCACCAGATGGTACGGGAGGCTCCCATGAGTTGCCGCAGAAGGCGGGGCCAGAGCACGTGGACGGTGCTCTGCGGGTGCTCGCGGCGGTGTTCCGGGCGGCCCGTGATCTGTTCCCGCTGGTGGCCACGCAGAAGGCGGCGGAAAGCACGGCGGTGATCCGCATAGATGCCATGAAGGCGTTGACGCCTAGGGAGGTTGTGGCCAGAGGGCCTTGGCTCTTGCAGCGCACCTCTCTGGGCGACGCCATCGTCTGCACGCGCGCGGAGCCGGTCATCAGTCAGGTCAGTGGCTCTGGATTTGCAGAGGCCGCTATCGGGCTGACGGGATTAGAGCCGGATCTCACGCCGAGAGGCGTTTAGGGAGCCAGCAAGCACACGTGAAATATTATTGCCTCCGGGCAGCTAGTACAGACACTCATTCCCTCTAGATGCTGGGTCGTGAGTACAAACTTCGGCCTCACCCCGCAAACGCGGGTCCTGCCGACCTTGTATTTCCCGTGTCGCATGGGCACGGCTGCTGGAACGGTGCAGTGCCGAACAGGGCCGCATGAGCATGCGCTTCGGTAAGGCTACCGGAATGGTACACTGCCTAGTAGGGCCGATTCCCATCATTCCGACCAAAGAGTCTCTGTGGAGGCGCGTTCTTTTCGGTTCGAGGCCCGCTTTGAAGCCGTGCTGTATGAAAGCATTTTTGGGGGGCTGATTGGGCTCATCTTGAGGCTTTGGGGGGCATCTTGAATCTTGTTTGGAGCGGTATGTGTGGCCCCTTTGGCCGTCATGGACACCCCCCAGTACCGAGAGCAGAGAATGATTGCCTGCGAGGACCCCCAACATTGGGCTCTTGCACTTGCGATGCGCGATCTAATGTGGTGCACTATTGGGTATGCAAGACATGTGCATTGTGCAAGCTAGGTGGTACCATATACGGGGTGCAGGAGCTCTTGTGTTACCTACAAGGTACAATGTAATACCTATATATATACACATATATACATAGAGACACACACATATATATTATATATATATATATATAATATATATATATATATATATATGTACGGTCCATGTGGTGCAAACTGCGCGGTGCTAGCTATATGGTTGTATCTGTGGAGTGCAGCCTGTCCACTGCAATTCACCTTGTTGACATCCGCGCGCGAGCGCCTACCATGCTCGTGCAAACATCCCACCCACCAACACGCATCTTGCTGGCAGTAATTCAACGAGAGGCGACAGCGACGATGACGAAAACGAAGTTCAAGACGCCGTTGTCGACCTCGACCTTGGTGATGGCGATTGAGGTGAGCGTGGCGCAATCTACTTTGCCAGTATGGTTGTAAGCTCAAATGATCGATCTATCATCCCACACTCCCATTCGCAATATGTTGACAGAATTCAGCTACGCGGTGGCAGCGGCGTGACGATAACGATGGTTATGCTCATGGCGATGGCGGGGATGATCTCGTGGTTATACTGGTGATGTTCATATTGATGATACTCACGGAGATAACGATGACGATGCCGATGATGATGCGGATGCCGATGGTGCGAAGTGCTAGCGCGGACAAAAAAAAACATGACGTGTGCGACGACATCGACGAACATGATGATGTTGATGACCGCGGCGGCGGCGCCAGTGATGACGCCGATGGTGATGACTCCTCGCCATTGTGACGCTCATGATGGTAGCGTTTGTGCTAATGAGAATGGAGACGAAGTTAGCGTTATCGGACATTCACAATCCAGGTTGTGTCCTTCATTGAGCATTCACTCGTTGCTCGTATTCGTATGTGTTGACATGTAGTTTCGTTGAAGCTGTCAGGAGGCGAACAGTTTTGGAAGGATTTCAGTGTGCGCGCTAAGACGCGCCCGTATGGCTGCATTGTAATGTTGAATTCAGTTGGCGCGCGAGGTGGTTGTTGAAAATTTTCGAGATGCGCGCGCGTCTTGTCCGCATGGTCTCAGTTGATAAGACTTTAACCACTCCTGGGTTTTTTTTCCAGGGCGTGGGGATCCAGACAGGAGGTTGCGACAATACGGCATCCTTTACAGTAAGTGCAGTGCAGAACTATGGCGCCAGCAAGGAAGGGTGAAGAACGGCCAGAGGCATCATACACGTCATAATTTACAATGCCGCGATTTCGTTGTTAAAAAAAATCCGGTCGATCAATACGGATGCTAGGTTTCAAGACGTGCTTGGTGAATTGTCTCTGTTGGCCCGCTGGGACGTTGTGCTTTTGAATGAAACGTGTCGAAGTGAAGAAGGATAGCATTTTGAAGCGGAATGTGGCCATGTATTATTGGGAGCTGGTGGGGCCGTCATCAGAAACGGAATTGTATTTCTTGTGTTTCAGCGTTGGGCAGCAGGGACATCGTCATTCACAACGCGTGGCGATCGGATTCGTCGTATGGAAATACAACTTGCACATCTTAACTTTCGCCTCGTGTCTTTGTACGTACCATATTCAAGATATCCCGATGCCGATGTGGAGACCGACCACGGCGGCAGGCGAAGCAAAGAGGCCAGATCGTTGTGGCAGACGTTGGTTGGAATGCCGTTCTTGGGATTGGCGGTGATTCGTGCGAGAATCAATTTATCGGCGAACATGGGCTGGGAGAGCGAAGTGATCGTGGAGATCCCTTGGCGTTTCCAGCAGAAAACATATTATCAGCTACGAATACATTTTATCCCATGCAAGATTGAAATATGTGGGACGGGACCAACAGGCGACAGATCGATTCCTTCTGCGTTTGCCGCCAGACAAGAGACACGATGACACTCCCAGGTGCAAGTGGCGCACTTGGGGTTGGAGCAGGCCACAGAGCTGTAATTTTGAACTTGAAGATTCCGTAATTTCAACAGGGCGACGAGCGCAACCCACGGGAGAGGAATTGACGCAGAAAAAAGTAAACCTCATGCTGGATATGCCGTTGACGTCGACAACGCCATACGATCAACTATAAGGTTGCACTCTGGAGAGGGCAGCCGACCCACTGCAGCGGCAATCTGCGAGGTTTTAGAGGATCTTCTGTTGTCATCTATAGGAGAGGCCAGGTGCGAAGAGAGCAAGCCAAAGAAAGGCCAGAACAAGCTGACGCCGCAGATTCTGAGTTAGATGGCTGAACGACGGGCCGCCCGCAGGGGGGACCGGATAACGCCGGCGGATGAAGGTACTACGCAAAGAACTACAAAGGGCACTCAGGAATCTGGAGCGTCATCGCAAGACAGAGCAGATTGATCAAATCTTGAACGAATCAAAGAACATAGGTCGCACGCGAGACATTCACAACAATTTCAGAACAATGCGGTTTGCCAGCGTCGTGGGCTAGTCAGGCAACGTGCGTTCGAACAGACAGGACATCGTCGATGTATTCGCTGGCTTTTACGAAGAAGTGTACATGGCGTGGGAGGAGCTAGTGGTCGATGGAAACGAAGAGGGGCGCTGGGTCACCAATTTTGAAGTACCGTCAGTTACAGTTGAAGAGATGTTTCAACATGTGAGAAAACTGAAGCGAGGCACGGCAGCGGGCACGAGATGTGTTGCGGGCGAAATGTTTAAGGTTGGAGGCCAGCTTTTGAAAGAAGTGCTTGCGGACGTCTTCACTTGCATCCTGGTCAATAGGGATGAGCCGCCAGGGTCGTGGAGACGCAACGTCCCGAGGGTGATCTTCAAAAAGGGAGACCCAAAACTCCCAGGGAACTACCGCCCCATCACGATATTGCCGATGATGAACAAACTCTGCGCAATGGTTCTCAATGGACGCCTTGATGCATTTTTGGGAAACCAGCAATCCACAGACCAAGCGGGCTTCCAGAACGGGCACGGCTGCGAAGACCATGTGGTGACGCTCGCGCTCGCCCAAGAGAAAGCAAGGGAGTTCAACGTAGATGTTTGGGTTGCCGCGGTGGGTTTCTGAAAAAGCGCTTGATTCCGTGGGCCGTTCTGCCGCGTGGAACGTTTTGAGGGAACGAGGGGCCCCAGGGCCTTACGTGCACGTGCTGAGGCGACTGTGCACGGGACAAACGGGTCTATTTAATTTGTGGTTGCCAGAGCCGCCCTTTCTGGCGCTTGCAAGGTGCTCCAGTGTTTTCCGAGATTCAACGCAGTGCTTGAGTCTCTCATGCGAAGGCTGAAAGGGCTGAAAGGAAAGTGGAGGGTGGCCAGACTCGGTTCCAGAGTGCATCCGTGGTCCTTGACTCACTTTGGATTTGCAGATGACACATTGCGCATGGGGTCGGCCAGAGCGCGCGCGCGAATAATGCTGGAAGACCTGAGCGAGTTCGCTGTTGCATTCGGGCTCAAGATCCACGCGGGCAAAACCAAGCCCATGTCGAACGTGCAACAGCGCAGAAGTGTCCTGCGACAACGTCGCGTGCAGGTGGGAGAAGGACAGGCGGAGGTACTTTCCATCAGCGACAGCACGTCGCACCTTGGCAGACAGGTCACTTTCGGAGACTACCACGACACGGAGATCACACATCGAAGATCGACAGGTTGGGCAGGTTTTGGACGTTTCAAATCTGAGTTGTGCAACAAACATTACTTGCTGAGATCCAGATTCCGATTGTTCAACGCTGTCATAGCTTCTGCTGTTCTATGCGGGTGCGGATCGCGGACGCCCACCGCGGAACGATCAGACACACTCAACGTGGCCATGCGCAAAATGCTCAGGAAGATCGTCGCCGTTGGCAGGGCGCCAGATGAGTTCTGCGTCGACTGGATCGTGCGAGCCACGCATCGCGCAGAGCAGGAGTGTGATAGGTTCGGCTTTCCCACGTGGCTTCAAGCGCAGGAGCAGCGCAAGTGCAGACTCCTAGAGAGAATTCAGACGTGCGCAGATCGGCGCCGGGGAAGCAGTGCGCTGCAGTGGGGCCCGATTAGAAGGAGGTCCATTGGGCGCCCCGCGAAGCGGTGGACAGTCTGCAAGTGCGGTTGTTTGTGTATTTCACGCATGCGATTTCTCGTTTGGAGCGCACGAGAATCATCGAGGGGCCTGGGCGTGATAATTTTCAGGAATGGGGCGTGCGAGGATCATGAAGAAAGTGGGGCCCGCGCGCGCAGCGTCCCACGCGGGGCGCGCTCTGGCGCACGCTGCGCGAGACACTCTGACCCCCTTTTCGGTTTCCAGCGGCGGCAGCGAGTGCGCGCGCGCAGATGCGCGGCATTGCCTATTTCTGGGGCGCAGGTTTTTGACAGTTTCTGGCAACCCATGTTCCGAAGTGGCTCGGGAAAACGTTGAGTTGGAGGGTTTGGGCGCGCGCGATTCACAGCGCCAGCGTTGACCGCTCAGCGTAGATTGTGTATTGGGTATTACTGATGACCCACTCTCATCGCAGAATGGGGCCATCCAGTTCCGAGGAGTGGCGGGCGCCTTTCGCGCGGGCCCCCCGGCACCGCCGCCCGCGCAAGGGGGATCGCCGACACCTCGCTCTTCCATTTAAACCGTTGTCGCACCGCGTGCACCCCTCCTCTTCCTTGCCTGACGTCTGTGGCCATTCGGGGTCTGGCGCTCGGCCGTTTCTGAGCAACCCGCCCGCGACCACCCAGGGGCATCAAATTCCTGGAAGTGGCCGGTGCCTTGCGCTCGGGTGCCCCGGCGCCGCCGACCGTGAAATGGGAATCGCCGTCGCCTCCTTCACTGCTATCGCACCGCTATCAGGGCTGACTGAGGACACTGGCGAGCGTACAAAAACACAGAATGTCGCCCGAAGGGAATG